GTACTCCAACCTCTAGTGAAAGAGCATGATGTGCTTCCTCCTTCCCCTACTGAAATCCAGAGGCTTGAAAAGCTGAGCTGGGTCATTTTGCTGTGTTTGCTGTTCCTGTTTTCTATCAAAGCCCTTTGCCATTTACTCAGGTTTCCTTATCTAACCCGTGGATAAAAGCAGGATACCAGACTGACACAGCATGCGAAGTTCTCTGAGCAGGGAGAGCGGGAACATCACATCATCGTGTTAGCACTGATCTGGAAAGGACAAATGCCAGCAGTACTGGCTTCATGTGGAAACCGCAGCTCGAGCCATATGCTCAGCTGGGTTCCTACGGAGGAGATGAAATTCACCGTCTTTTCACTAAAATACATAATTCCTATCTCTGCGCGCTTTTGTTTGTTGCGTTCTTTGTTTGGAAATTCAAAGACTGATCCTGCGTGAATACGAGCCAATAAAATCAACTCCAAAACTACTTGAGGAATTGTTTAACTGTTAGCAATGTCCACAGCGAAAGCAGATGGCCCCGGTGCTACCCAAGCACCGGTATCCTTCCTGTTGAAACAAGGGGTCCCACAAGCCACGTCGAGCTGTTGCTCCAACGCTGTGACTTGGCCGTGCTCTCTCCCTGGCACATGCACTGCAAAACTCTCACTGGTGTTTTAAAACGTATCGACACACAGGTTCTGTCCTTGGGTAAGCCATCAGCAGCTCATCGGGGTAATTATGGTTGGGGTGCTGGCTCCCATGGGTCCTGACAGGTGTCCACACATGAATGGAGCCAGAGGATGCACGAGATGGCACGTTACTCAAAAACCCACCCACGCGACTCACCTGACAAGATGGAAGCGACAGCGGCGATGATGAAGGAAACGATGACCCCGGGCCCCGCCATCTCCTTGGCCACCAGGCCGGACACCACGTACATGCCGGTGCCCACGCAGCTCCCGACGCCGAGGGAGATGAGGTCGAGGGTGGTGAGGACCTTGGCCAGCCTGGCGCCCTGGGCAGCAGCGGTCCCTGTGCCCTCCAGCATGGACTCCACGGGCTTGGTGCGCAGGACGCGGGCGCGCAGGGCATGGCCTGCTGCCCCCCACGGCACCCGGCCGCGGGTCCAGGCGTGAGAAGAAGCTGCTCATGGCTGGTGCTGGGCTCCACGAAGGTGGGTCACAGATGGTTTCGGCAGTGCCCACTCAGGGCTGCGGCTTCATCTCCCTCCTGTGGTGGTGGGCTGGCTGCGGGAGAGAAGAACACAGTTTTTAACTGCAATAGCAAAGAGAGAAGGATCTGCTCCGCGTGGAGGAACCAAAAGAAGCCTCCAAGCCAGTTTCTGGCGGGGTCCAGCACTGGGAGAGCCTGGGAGCCAAGCTTTCACTAATGCTGCTGCTCCAGAGAAATCTCCTTTTTCCATCCCAATTATTTTGTACAACAGAGATGCTCTGCCCCTCTTTATGTCTGGCTGTTATTTGAGTCCCCGTTATTAATACAGCCCCATAAGCAGAGGGAACCTGATTCCCTCCGAGTGCCCATTACGCGGCTTAATTGCTGCCAAAAGCAATGATGCCATGTGTAACCATGAGGTGCTGATGGCCACCGTGGCCATGGTTTTGGGTGGGTTTTGGTTGGGACTAAGCTTGGCCGCACCGCAGCGTGTCCCGGCAGCGAAGATGCTCCTGTTGGTGCCACGTGGCAGCTGACCATTGCCATGCCCGGCCACGTGGGACCTTCTGCAGGACATTGATGTTCTCCACCTGTGCTGCAGAAAAAGAGCGACTGGAACCATAGCTTTGTTCCTGTAACCAGTGCGTTGAGACCGCTGCCTGCCTGTGCCAAGCTGCAGCCGGCTGTGGGGCTTGATCACCATGAATTAGCCCTTATAGGGGACATTGACTGATTTTTTTTTAATGCTATAGAAGTTGAGCCTTACAACTCTCTAGCTATACCAGTTGGTTGTTGGAGTTTTTTTGCATGCTACCATCATCCTGCTGAGTCCTAAAGGGGAGAGTTTTAAAGGGTGCTGCTTGTTCAGGTCCCAGTGAATCACACGGCAAAGACAGTCCTTGGTGTGCTTTCGTCATTCAGTTTATCACTTTGTTTTTGTTGTTATTTAAATACTGGTTTAGGAGTACTTTTTTTTTTTTTTTTTTAAATTAAGAGATGCAGGGTTTCTGGTGTAACCGCAACATGCTTTGGGGTCTGACTTCTACATAATTAAGGCAAGCTTGGGAGAGAAGCTCAGCAGAAGCAGCACTGGCCCCGCTGTCCACTGGAGAGCGAGTGGCCGACAGCGCGGTCAGCTGCAGCCGTGCCTAAATACTGCTGAACTACCCTGCCTGAACCCATCTACTCTGATTTTCTTAAAAATCACGACATTATCTTGGTTTCCCTTTTCTCTGTGCTTTTTAATCTGAAGTTTTCAAGAAATATTCAGCAACTGCCATTTCCCTCCCTCCCTTTTTGCTGTTCTTTAGCCAACCGTGTAGTTCTCAGGCGAGCTCCTAACACCAGCAGCACTGACTTCCCAGTGGCACATGATGACTTCTTGACTTTTAGAAAAATAAAAAGAATTGACAAACTCTGCATGCTAATATCTGCAAACAGGAAAAATAGTTTATTAAATATGAATTTTAACCTGGCAGCTTCTTTCCTTTTCATACAGAATTTTTTTTTTTTTTAATTGCCTTGAAGACAAACCAATTATTTTTCCATCTTTACATCCAAAACAAATTACATTGTTTCTACCAGGCAGCCTTGCGTTCCTGGAGTTACTAAATTAAAACACAGCATTCATTTCATGTTTTGGTTGATCACTGTTCAAATTATGCTGTTTTTTTTTTTTTTTTTTTTTTTTTACCTCCAGCAACCACAAGCTGAAAGGCTGGATGTTCTAGTGAAAAATAATAATAAGGAAAAACTGTTACTGCTCTTGATCAAATGTGCATCTTTGGCTTGAGAATAAAAACTGGATTTGTCTTTCGGGTTGCTCAAGGAGTCAGACAGTTTGCGGCATGGGCTGGATCTCAGGTTAGGTTTTATTTTCTGGTTTAAAAGTAGGTTTGTGTTGGAAAGGGGCAGCTGAGCCAGAGCTCAGCAGGTCTGCGCCAGCTGGGATGAAGCAGAGCGGTCCTCGGGGTAGCATGCCCATGTGCTGGCACCTCCAGTGTAGCTCTGCTTCACCAGAGCTGTGTTTCAGCCACAGGGAAAATAACTCCTCTAATCAGTGATCACCTCCCAAAATTCATCCTCCTTTTATCCAAAGCACAGCACCTCTGAAGCACAGGCTGGCAAAGAGGTCTTGCTGCACTTCACCCAACCACTTCCCGTCCTTTATTTACCTATTTTCCTTACTGGGACTTCATGGATGCTCCTAGTTTGAAAGGTTGAGATTTCTATGCTTAGGTTTGCACCAAATTGACTTAAACTAGCCAAGAAGTCGAGCAGAAGTATCCGTCTGGTTTTTGAACTGTTACAATTTAAACACTCTTATCTCTGCATGGTTTTCTCACATAGCTTGTACTGTAAGAACATATAGAATCATAGAATGGTTTGCGGTGGAAGGGACCTTAAAGGTCATCTAGTCCCAATCGCCCTGCCATGGGCAGGGACACCATCTTTCCCAAGTGAGCCTATCCTTGGTTTACTCATGGCAAAAACTCTTCAGAAGGTGAAAGTGATAGACACTGAAGAGTCAGCTCTTAACTCTTGTTAGGGAAAGCATAACGAGAATCAACAGCTGAAAGTTGAGGCTGGACAAATAGAAGTTGGATGATTAACTATAGGAAGAGATGAGCACTGGGAGGAGTGGATTTGTGTCTCTTAATGTCTTTATACCATTTCTGGATGCTTTTTTGGAGACTGTGCTTGTCACAGAGGAGCCACTGAGCCACCAGAAGAGATAGGATGGCGTAGGATGGAGATGCCAAGGCTGAAGGCTGGTCCTTGGTCCCATGACCAGCTTTGTGCTTTGGCATGGGAAGACCTGACCTGTGTTTTAAGGGGTGTTAGGGCTGATGTGGCTGGAGCCCAGCAATTTTTCATCATCTTGTCTGTGATGTCCGTGAGTGGCTGATGACGGGTTTGGGAAGGGCAATGTATGCTCAGGTCTCTCTGGGAGGATCCACATCCACATTGGAAAAATTAGTGCATCCCCCAAACTGAAGAGAGTTGAGTGTGACTGATTCACACAGAACAGTTCACTCTCAGGGCACAAAATTGACTTTCTCTCTTTTTGAAAGGACCTTAAGGGAAGACATGGCAGTCTTGTCCAGGAATAACTTTTAACTGCTAAAATAATGAAAAACTTAAATATTTTAAATGGTTCAAATTTAAAGCAGGCACTGGCTGGTGGATCTGTGATGTGCCCAGATTTAGGCTGCTGAGCTGTTCCAGCTGCCTGGGGCTGGGCTGGGACCGTGTCCTCCTGCATGGCTGCTCATTGCCATGGGGCAGCCCAACGTAGCCCTGCAATTCGTATGGCCCGTCCTAAGTCACCAAGGAAATAAAGAAGCCTCCAAAACATCTGAAATTAAATAACTCTATAATTGCCACCATATTCAATTAAAGCGATCATTCAAAACTATTCCAGATGTCTCCGCGAAATCAGCATATTGTAGCTTAGAAAACAACCTTTCACTCCACTTAAAGCTGTAAAAAAATATCTCATGGGGCACAGACGGCTCGTTTCTGCTCTGCTCCACTAACCCTGCCTAGCTAGGAGTAGACAGTGAGAGGGAAGGAGAGTTTTTATTTGTGGTTTCTACCTTTTCTCTTCATCATGAACCTGGGAAGCTCAAGGGAGCTGTGGCTTGGAGGAGGCCAGCCCGATTTGGGGAGCTGCAGCCGCGTTTTGGCGCTGCGCAGCTCTCC